GTCCCTAAAAAAAAAAAAACTCAAGAATTGTGTTGTTTCAGCTCATTTTAATTAAGTAGTTTGAACAAACAGCAAACATATTTTTGAGTGTGTTATTATTATTATATTTTAATATTTATTAATATTATTATTATTATTATTATTACTATTATTAGGGGCCAAAGTTATTAAATTCATGTCAACAGGTGAAACATTTTTTATTTACAATTGACCATTGTGTTGCCATGATGCCAAACGGCATTGAGGCTGTATTCAATTCAGCTTTATTTGTATAGTGCTTTTACAATGTAGATTGTGTCAAAGCAGCGTCACATAAATGGTCATAGTAACTGGATCAGGGTAGTTCAGTTTTTAGTGTTTAAGTTCAGTTCAGTTCAGTTTAGCTCAGTTCAGTGTGATTTAAAATCATTACTGAGAGTTCAAACACTGAAGAGCAAATTCATCGATGTGTAGCTCTACCAATCCTGAACCATGCGAGCCAGTGGCAATAGCGGAGAGAGAAAAAAAACTTCACCTGAGAGTGAAGAAAAAAAACTTTGAGAGAACCAGACTCAGTTGGGCACAACCATTTTAATTTCTCCGTTGGCCAAAAGTCATGTGCAGAGCTTCAGTCATGTGCAGAGCTTCAGTCACCGTGGTATCTCTGCAATGTTTATACATACTGACACCAAAATGTAGGGCATTTTGGGCCAACACCACACAGCCAGCGCTGAGAAAACAAACTGTGTTGCTGGCTCGTGTTGGCTTGTGTCTGGTCTTGTCTGGACAAAAAAGGCTGCGTATGAACACACCAAACGGACAGCTGCCGACTAAAAAGGAAGTGCAAGTTCTGAGCCTACACTGTAACAAATTGCTGTAAAATCTATTCTATTACAGGTAAATTTGATTGCCAGTAATACTGTAAAATTTACAAATGGACTTTACCAATTACAGTTGTGCTTTAAAGGGCACCTATGATGAAAATCATCTTTTGTAAGCTGTTTGGACAGAACTGTGTGCAGGTATAGTGTGTTCACAGTCATATGGTGATACAGTGCTATAAACACAATAAGTCTATTTAAAAAAAAAAATCCTGGCGTTAAAATAGGATCCAAATCCCTCCTATTTTGAGGCTGACCGCAATATGATGTAAGAGTTCGGAAATTCCCACCCATCCAATTGATTGACAGTCACGTACTAACATGTCTCTGTAGTAACGCGTATAATCATAACAACAAGACAGGACGTGTGCAAAGCTACCGGGAATAAAAGATCTGTTCAGCGGTCTGTGATCATCAATCATCATCAAATGTGCTCATGTATGAGTTTACGTTTACGTTTTAAACGTTTAAATGTTTTTAAAACAGTGCATGTTGGTAATGAATTACACCGATTTTACCGTCTTCATCACCACAGCCGCATGCCAGTACAATTATAACAGAAGACGCTTTAATCCCACTTTGTGGACGTTAAATCAGGTTTATTTTGTAAATTAACATAACGGATATCTATACAGCAGTGGATATTAACATGTATCCTGTCACATTTAACAAGCAAAAACAGAGCAAAGACAAAGTAAAATGAGAGACCAAATCAACTGACCAAAAGCCATCACTATATAACCAAAATGAAACGAAAACGGTGGTGTGAAGAACGATGCGACTAAAAATGAATGTCCACTCAAGACGGTGTGAAGTGTGACCTGCTGAGAGGGAGGAAAAAGTGCAGACCATACAAGAAAGACAAGACGGATGACAAAACACACACACGGATGAAGGGATGGAGAGGAAGGAGAGATGAGGGCCGCTGGTGCAGTGAGGCTGGCAGACAGACTCTCAATCAGTCTTTATGAACCACAACAGCACCACACCCTTCTGCGCATGTGTGTGTGTGCGTGTGTGTGTGAGTGAATGGTTACTTAAAGCCAACGCGAGTAAATCCTGTCTGCCCTTTAGTATGATTAGTTTTCCTCTGACAGAGAGAGAGAGAGAATTTGAGAGACAGCAATTGAACTGACTGCCCTCTTCTCTCGCTCTCTGTCTCTCCCTCTCTCTGTCTCTCACTAACAGACAGATGAAAGTAACTCAATTTTTATGGAATATTCGGTGCAGAAATCATCTTCAAATCCTGCCAAATTGCTCTGAATTGGATTATGCAGAAATGTCTTTTAGGCTAGATGGATTCATGAAGTTACGAGGGAGCCTATAGTATAGATGGATGATGGGAATTCTCTTTTCCTCTATATAACATTCTTATATTTCAAAAGGGGAATATTTTAGCATATTTATATTGCATATGAAGCAAAATATGAAACATTCCAACCCAAGCTCATTCTGGAAACGTAGCCCCGCGGACGTTTCTGGAGGCCGCGATTTACGTGGCTGGAGGTACGTAAAGGCCGCGTTTGGTTTTTTTCGAGCGAACGCTGCGGGGCAGTGTGGCGCCGCTCCGCTCCTCCTCTTCGCGCTCGCCGGCCGACGGCTCGCCTCCGAGTGGAGGGCTTTCCCGATGCAATCAGTTTGTCTGCTTAGCTCACAGCGTTGCGTCGGCGGAGCGGAGGCCCCGGAGGAGGAGCCGGAGCCGGCCGCAGTGGACGACGACCGGGATCGAGTCCGGGGAACAGCATGTTCCGGAAATCAGGTAAGACAAAAAACGGAATCCGAAATATAAGGGCGAGAACGCGGCGGGATCCGAAAACGTGGTCGAAATCGAAGACGAGGGCTTTTGCTTTTTTTTTTTCGATCCGGCGACTTTTCGCGCGAGAACGGAGCGGGCGCGCTGCGCGCTCCCGAGAGGCGCCCGAAACGCGAAAAAGCGCGCACAGCGGCCTCTCGCGGATCCGCGAAAACAAAAAAACGCTCGAATACGTACCTTCCGGGACGTAAATCGCGGTCCGCAGAAACGTCCGCGGGGCTACGTTTCCACAATGAGCCCGGGTTGAAACATTCACATGAAACTGTAATTATAAAATACCTACACACTGTAAAAATGAATATTTGTATGATGTTGAACTATTATTCTTGAATGGGATTAGTTTAAACGACTTAATATTATGTTAAATTTGCGCATATTTGTGTTAAAAACGTTAACAAAATTATTATCTTGAATGTTGATTGGATGTAATATTGTTTTAAAGCTGAAGAAACATAGAAACTTAGCAGACCTCAAATTAAATTTACAATAAAAAAAGTTTCGACCAATTATCCCCCCTCCACCCCTTTCAGCAGGGTATTTTCACACCTCTAGTTAGAAAAATGTCAGGAAAGTGGGTGAGTGCAGCTGTTGGTTGGAGTGTCGAGTGGTGAAAGAGGGAAGGGTTTGCATGAAAAAGGGAGTTTCAGTACATGCGCTACAGCTGATTTTCACACCAGCAACACAAACACAAATGCAGGGTAGAGAGTAGCTGAGTTTTCATCCAAAGATGCTAATTAAATTCATGCGCAAAACTGGAATATCGCATGTAATGCCGAGTTTAGACTGCATGATTTTCAAAGTAGTCGTGTCACAGATGTTTTCACACTGCATGACTATCTGGGCTAGCGTTTCGTCGCTGCTTTGTTTACACTGCAAGATGGATTGGTGACAGCGACATTCACACTGCATGACTTTACTATAGGAAGAATCGCCGACAACTTCATCCAAACTACGTCTCACAGCCAAAAACACGTAGTATATCTTTTGTTATTAACTACATAATGAGAAAGAAGCCTTTAATGGGGTAGAACATGTACATGTTTGCTCACCTGGGTTTAAAGGGAATTAGTCATTTCTCCTCAACGTTGATAATAAACCAATTTCTTTCTGTATGAAACGTCAAACAGACACGGTTGCTCCTGAGTCCTGTCAAACCTCCACTAGTTTTTCCTCCATTTCGTGGGTCCAAATAAACCGAAAAAGAGTGCTTTTAACTTCTCCCCCAGCCTCCCGCTGGCCTGCAGCAGGTATACACACACGCACACGCAAGTGAAAGCTGCTCTCTCATTGGCTGTAGGTGATGGCTGATGTTATTTTCAGTCAAAACTCAATTCACACGGCATGATTTGAATCGCCGACAGCTCCAGATATTTAGCATGCCAAATATCTCACAGGCATCGGCGACTCATCAGCGATTCTCTCAGATCGCGTCTTTGATCGTTCATACTGTGTGATTGTCACTCACGTGCACGAGCAGCGATTTGCCTGTGATTTCAGGCATTTGTCGGCGATTTCTCAAAACCTGTCGGCGAGCCAAAATCGGGGCTAAAATCACGCAGTCTGAACTAGGCATAAGACATGCGAATAAAGCAGCGTTTCCAGTAGTAAAAGTGAACAAAATTGTCACTTTCTGATTAACTAATGCCACATCAAAAGTAAATATGGATTTTGCTGTGGTAGGAGAGGCTGAGTCAATCTTTTCTTTATTCTGTACTGCTTGATAATGTTTTGTTCAGGATTCCTCTCAGGACCCCACCGAATCAAATATTTCAAACATATTTTCAAGAATACTACAAGGTTATTCACATGCAATTAATTTGAAAGAGGACCTATCAGGTCATAAATCTCCACAAATGTCCTCTGATCTGTCATCAGAATAAAATTCAATTTAGCAAATGAAATAATTCCGCTCTATTCTGGATTGTCGTTTGTTTCTGAAATGCATCCATTATTTATAAGGGGTTAAATGTTTGGTCACACTTTACAATAAGCTTTCATTAGTTAATGTATTTACTGACATGAACTACTAATGAACAACACATATACAGCATTTATTAATCATTGTTCATCACTTACTAATGCATTATTAAAACCCAAATTCATGCTTGTTAACATTAATGACCAGAAGTGAACAGGAACTAACAATCAACAACTGTATTTTGATTAATGTTAATAAACATGAATAAATAGTAAAATAAATGTATTGTTCATTGTTTGGTCATGTTAATAAGTACATTAACAAATACAACCTTATTGTACAGTGTTACCAAAAGTAGGTAAAGTGCAAATATAAAAAGCTGAAGTGAAGTGTGTTCGGATTGTTTCAGGATTGGTGAGGACGTGGCCCGTGTGACAGAGGGAGGAGGATATGCAGGTAAACACTTCCGCATGGGTTTCATGACTATGCCGGCGCCTCAGGACCGCGTTCCTCCTCCCTGCGGCCCGGGCTTCACTGTCCGCTCACAGTCTTTGCACTCAGTGGGAGGAGGAGAAGAGGAGGGCAGTCCCACCTCACGAAAACAACCTCCACCCAAACCCAGACGAGACCCCAACACCAAACTCAGCACCTCCTCAGAGACCGTCAATGCCGGCCTCAGCACCGGCAAAAGTGCCAAGGACAGTGAGAAATTTGACGGTAAGAACTCTTCTAGTTGCAAATATTCATTAGGGGTACCAAAGGGTCCTTATAAAGTATTCAATAAGATTTTTTTTTACATTTAAGGTCATAAAAAGTCTTAAAAGGTCTTATTATTACTTGCGAGAGGTCTTCTCATGAGTAATCACAAGAGGAATTTTTGGTGATGGAATTTTACATGATAGTGTGACTTTGATCTATTATTTTCCTTCGGCTTAGTCCTTTTATTTATCACGGGACACCACAATGGAATGAACCGCCAACTATTACAGCTTATGTTTTATGCAGCGGATGCCCTTCCAGCTGCAACCCAGTACTGGAAAACATCGATACACTCTTGCATTCACACACATATACCATGACCAATTTGGGAAACCCAGTCCAACACAGGGAGAACATGCAAACTCCACACAGAAACGCCAACTGACCCAGCCGGGACCCGAACCAGTGACCTTCTTGCTGTGAGGCAACATGCATTTTTTAATTAGTTTGTTTTACCTGATTCATTTAATGTTGAACTGGTTAGCCTCTTAACTTAGGTAATTAATTTGAGTGTAAAAGATTAATAAAAAAATGTTAATATATATATATATATATATATATATATATATATATATATATATTTATTTATTTATAATTTTTTATTTGTGGACATTATGTAGAGTATTTTTTTTTTCATCTGGTCTTAAAATAGTCTTAATTTGATTTAATACATTTTTTTATAGTATAATTTGGTTCCATAAAAAAATAAATATGTTTTAACATATATTATATTTATTTATATGTGGGTTTAATTTATGTGAAATATTATAATAATTGAAAATATATTTTATTTTATTTTTGGCAAGGCTATACTTTAAAATAATTTACCATTTCAATAATATTCATGACATTTAATAATGCTAATTTTATTTTGTTTAATTATCATTTTATAGTACAAAACTATTCAGAAATAATTCTAACGTGCTGATTAAATGATAAAGAAACATTTTTATTTTTAATAAACTGTTGTGCTGCTCATTATTTTTGTGGGAACTAGGATACATTTTTATAGAGTTATAATTAATTATAATTAAAAAACTATATTAGCACATCAATTGTGTGTAAAATGACAGCAATGTCTTTAAATAATGAAAACAATTTTAAAATAAGTGCTTTCTAACTTAATATATTTCAGAATTATTGTTTGTGAAGTAGTATTAACATAAATAAACTGTTTTCTTTTAGGGTGGTTCATTCCGCTGTGGCGACCCCTGATAAATAAAAGACTAAGCCGAAGAAAAAGGAAAGAATTAATAACTATTGTCCATTAGAATATATTTTAGAGATGTTTTGTTTCTTGTAATGCCAAGATTAATTTTCAGCTGTCATTACCCCAATCTTTAGTCACATGATCCTTCAGAAATTATATAACATCATATTCTCATTTGTCGCTCAAGCAAAATGTAGTATTTTCCATGTTGAAAAGCATTATGCAGCTTCTATATTTTATAGCATATGCACATCAACCATCAACTCTTATAAAATATGATCGCAACCAGCAAGCATTCCCTCCCTCCACAAACAAATACACACACACGCGCATCACAAGACATCTCTTATTTTTTCCCTCCACTTCACTGTTGTATGCAAATATCCTCTCTTCTGCCATCTCTGTCATGCATGCCTTGTTCTCATGGATCATTACACACACACACACACACACACACACACACACACACACACACACACACACACACACACACACATCAAACACTCTTCTGTGCAATGCACATCACAAAGCAAGAAATTCTATAAACTATAAACATACGCACAAGCACCAAGAAAAGGGAAAAAAACAAATTCAAGCAAACTCCACACACACAAAAAAATTTGTAAAAAGCATTCAGTGGTAAATCAATTAATTGATTATTGCTTTGAACAAGGATCTGAATTTGTGGAAACTGACATCTCTAATACACACCATACATATCCATCAAAAATAGAAAGAAAAATGAAATAAACACCATACAGTGTGAAAAAATCTGTTTTCTATGGTTAAAAAAACAGAATCCCAAGATTGTTGTCAGAATTTTTCAGTTAAAAACACAATAGAAACAGCTAAATAAATGTCAACATTTTACAGTAAACTGACACATTTCATTATTTTATAGTGTTAATACACCAATGCTTTAAAGTACTTACATCTACAGCAGGCGGCATGGTGGCTCAGTAGTTAGCACGTTGTTAACGTTGTTGCCAGCCAGAAGGTTACTAGTTCGAGTCCTGACTGGGCCAGCTGGCATTTCTGTATGCAGTTTGCATGTTTTCCCATGTTCGCGTGGGTTTCCTCCAGGTTTCCCGCACAGTTTAAAGACATTCTTTATTTTGATGGTCCATCTGAGTATCAGTAGACTATCTGCTAAATATCTGCTCTTGATACTGCTCCTTTAACAGACATTATACTGACTATAAGAAACTTTGCAAGTACACTAACCCTAACCCCAACCTAACAGTCTACTTACAATCTAATAAGAATTAGTTGGCATGTAGATGCAATGTTACTTAAATTCAACAAATGGACCATGAAAATAAAGTGTGTTATTAATAAACTAAATTTGCCATAGTGTATGAGTGTGTGTGTGTGTTTGTGTTTGTGTGTGTGTGTGTGTGTGTGTGTGTGTGTGTGTGTGTGTGTGTGTGAATGAGAGTTTATGGGTGTTTCCCGGTATTAGGTTGCAGCTGTTTTATGCGTAAAACATATTCCGGAATAGTTGGCGGTTCATTCCACTGTGGCGACCCCTGATTAATCAGGGACTAAGCCGAAGGAAAATGAATGACTGAACATCTACACATCGTGAAGTTTATTCATAAACTAATTTCGAGAGGATCATGTGCTTAATTGACACAGCTGGCCCCGAGTCAAGCTAATTTACAAACCACCAATCAGACGATTCCTAACTCAGTATAAATAACCAAAGCATCTTACCTTTGGTCATCTTTGTCTTGAAGAATCCCCCTTCCACCCCCTGTCCTCCTCTTTTTCCTCTATAGGGCAGCACGGCGGCCCAGTGGCTAGCAATGTGGCCTCACAGAAACTATGCCTCGGGTTCGTGTCTCTACCCGGCATTTCTGTGTGGAGTTCATGTTCTCCCCGTGTTCGTGTGGGTTTTCCCCGGGTCCTCCTTCTTTGCTGGCACCAGTGCTAACCAATCCGCCAATCCGCACAAATCAATGCTCATGTCAAACTATTTTTCTTACAAACAGAGAAACATGCTAATATCTAGAATATGCTCAGTGTCATTCACACGACTACTAACACACATGGCACTAAACAATGCAATGAGCATTATTTATCAACATCAGATGTAACATAAATGCTAATGTATTTCACTTATTAGGAAAAAAGCTAAAATAACCATAGTAATGTTGACAAAAAACATAAAAAGTGAAATGTGTAACGCAGGGAATTTACGCTTATTTGCCATACAGTGGGCGGCATGTTGCCTCAGTGGTTACCATTGTAGCATTTCTGTGTGGAGTTTGCATGGTTTCCCCATTTGCGTGGGTTTTCTGCAGGTGCTCCGGATTGTCCCACAGTCTAGAGACATGCGCTATAGGTAAATTGAGTACACTAAATTGGTCATAGTGTATGTGAGTGTGTGTATGGCTGTTTCCCAGAAGAAGATAATTTGAAGAATGCTAAAAATCAATAAGTGGTAAACCTGTAACCATTGACTTCCATAGTAGGAAAAACAGATGGTTACAGGTTTTCAGCATTCTTCAAAATATCTGAAAATGTTATTCTTTTTAACTTTTTTAAATATGTATATAAATAATGTTTCTTTCATCTGTCGGATAGTTTTAGGAGATTGTTTGTTTCAAAGAACAGTGTTTATTTAAATTAGATTTCATTTTGTTTGTACTAAAATAAATATTTTTATTCTTAATTCTGACTAGTTTAAAGGGATAGTTTACCCAAAAATGACAATTTACTCACTCACTATTTACTCTAGCCGTGTGTGGTTTCTTTTTTCAGTCGAACATAAAAGAAGATATTTTGAAGAATGCTGAAAACCTGTAGCCATTCACTTTCATAGTAGGAAAAACAAATGAAAGCCAATGGTTACAGGTTTCCATCTTTCGTCAAAACATCTTCTTTTTCTCTTCTTCAGTTTTATGGGATTGTTTGTTTCAAAGAACAGTGTTTAATTGAATTTATTTAAACATTTTGTTCATAATGAAATAAATATTTTTATTCTTAAATCTGACTAGTTTAAGTCAGAGATAACTCACTATTTACTCAGGCCTGTGTGGTTTATTTTTTCTGTGAAGCACAAAATAAATTTTAAAAAATGCTGAAAACTTTCATAGTAGGAAAAACAAATGGTTACAGATTTTCAGCATTCTTCAAAATATCTTCTTTTGCAAAATTTTCATTCTTTTTAACATTTTTCCAATAAGTAATGTTCCTTTAATCTCAAGCATAAAAGAAGATATTTTGAAGAATGCTGAAAACCGATAACCGTTGACTTCCATGGTCAAAAAAACAAATAGTTACAGGTTTTCAACATTCTTCAAAATATCTTCTTTTGCAAAATTTTTATTCTTTTTAACATTTTTTTCACAGTAAGTGATGTTTCTTTCATCTGTCAAGCACAAAATAAGATATTTTAAAGAATGCTAAAAACTGGTAACCACTGACCTCCATAGTAGGAAAAACAGATAGAAGTCAATGGCTACATGCATTCAGCATTCTTTAAAATAGACTGGGTTGCAGCTCGAAGGGCACCCGCTGCATAAAACATATGCTGGAATAGTTGGCGGTTCATTCTGCTGTGACGACCTCTGACAAATGAGAGACTAAGCCAAAGGAAAATAAAAAGGGAAACTTATTTTTAACCAGGTTACAGATTTCTACTTGCGAGTCACTGCAATGGTAAATAGCTTTACAAGCCGGCCATTGATTTGCTTTGAGAAGCACTTGATACACACTTAACTGCGGCGCTGCACACACTTGT